ACCGTGCAAATGACAACTGACATGTTATGGCTATTACGTTGCTATAACATTCTTAACCCGGCAAATAAAAGTACACTAAAATATAAGCCGACCATCAAGAGGAAACTCATATTTATAATATATGAGGGTGAATTTAATCGTGCCCTGTTTAAAAAAAGGGTTTTTGCGGTGGTATTTCTGCAGCGTCGCTGTCTTTTAACTATTTTGCTAGCGATCGGGAGCGGCCAGCACAGCGTCCGCCGGCGCCAACTGTTACCTGGATGGCCAGATCGGTAACCGCGGCACGGCAGACGTTTCCGGGCGGCCGCTTTTCCAGGTTATTGGATAAGTTGCTGCACGCTGGAGGCGGGGCCGGAGGCCGGCATCTAGGCCACCGCTGGGGAGCGGATATCGGGCCGGCGCGCGCTTCCCCGGCAGACATTTACAGCTGCCGTAACACACCGGCCACCGTTACATAGCGATTCATCTTCGACTCTCGGCTGATGAGAGGTCTGGCAGTCGCCCGCCGTTGAAAGCAATGTCCTAATGCGTCGCCGTCGCGCACCCATCGTTCGGGTGGCCGAGCCGCGGCCGCCGAGCGGGGCTGCTCGCCGCCGGACCGCACTTATCGTCACTCACGGGAATGGGCGCGCCGCCGGTCGGGCCGGCCGTCCGACAGCGGTCGGGCACCTCTCAGCCGGCGGCGGGGCCGGCGGCGGCTCAGGCCGGCGGTCCGCCCCATGGTGCCGCACAGCGGGCTCTCACCGTGCCGCCATGAGCGACCGCCGGCGTCAGCCGGGCCCTCACCTGGGCTGCGCCGCTCAGCTGGGCGCCGCTCAGTCGCGGATGAACACGAACTCGTTGTAGTGGTTCCAGCGGTTCTCCTCCGAGTCGGAGCCCGGCTTGTCCGAGATGCCCGAGATGCTGGCCGTGCCGGAGCCGCAGCTGGCCGTCAGCCGGAAGCCGGCGTCGTACAGCATGTCGAACGCCTGCTCCAGGAACGAGTGCTTCAGGAAGAAGCGGCTCGTGTAGCGGTCCACGTGGCCTCGGTCCGGGTCGCGCGACTCATTCAGCGTCTCCCCGAAAGCCTCGCGGCACAGCGCCACGCGGCCAGAAACCAGAATGCGGGCCAACTTACGGAACTTGACGTCGGCCAGGCCGTCGCGGCCGAATGCAAACGTGCCGCGGTACCCGACCGTGATGCAGCCGGGCGAGCGGGTGGCCAGGTCGCGCGGCCGGCCGCCGGGCGCGCGCAGCGCCTCCTCCAGCTCCGACAGCTGGAAGTACTCGGCCTCGGCCAGCAGCCGGTCGCACTCCTGGAAATTCTCCGGCAGCACCAGCTTCTGGCTGCGCAGGAAGTCGAGGACGTAGCGGAAGAGCACGCCGTCGCGGTCGATGAAGACGCGTCCCTTGGCGTCGCGGAGCGGCGGCTCGCTGGTCTCTCCCGAGAACAGCTGGCAGAGCAGTGAGCCGGCGCAGGAGGTGAGCGTGGCCGCCGACGTCGTGTAAAGCACGCCACCCACATTCAGGTCCACCACGCCGGCGCTGGCCTGCGCGGCCATCGTGGCCGGGTCACCGTTCATCGTTCACTGGCACATGTCTGCTGAGCGCGGCCGACAGCGGCACACTCCTGCTGCCGCCGAGCTCGATCGATGTGTGCTGGCTCGCCGGCTCTGCGGGCCGACGACGGACGCCGGCGGCGGCCCCGCGCGCGCGCGCGCCGACTCCCGGCGCCCGGTTGGCCCGCCAAATGGTGGCACGTGACTTTCCGCTCCGTTAAGGCGCGGATTCTGGGTTGGCGGATTCGCGGTCCGGTTCAGTGGCTGTTGGATGCCCCCGACAGGCCAGCCAGGGGAGGGGAGAATGCTTAACCCGCGCCGGCCGAAGGTGGGAGGGAGGGGGGGGGGGGGGCGCCCACTGACGGTTTTTCGCCATTGTCTAAACTCGCCGGTCGGTAATGGAAAGCTAAAAGCTGGCACACCTTTTCTTTGATTTAAGCCAAAGTTTTTGACACAAGCTGAATTTTCAGGTCAGGTTAGGTCCCTGGCCTATGACGTCATAAGTGAGCCCCTGCACGGTCTAACCAAATTGTCGCAACTTCGCAAATAGCACCCCCCCCCCCCAGCCCAGGGCGTGGAAATCCAGGACCCCCAGCCGGGCGCGGGATATAAAATGGACCATAAAACATGCATCACATGTTTATTTTACAACCAGTACGCCTACCGATCATGTCACAGCACGGAGGACGCCGTGCTCGACGCTGTCGAATCCGAATGGATCAGCCAGAACTCAGAGCGGGGAGAGGTCTCCTCAGTCACGGCAGCTGACCTCAGCAAGGCCTTCGACAGCGTCGACCACGGCGTCCTCCTGCGCAAGCTGGAGTGGTACGGGATCGACCCGACCTGGTTTGGTAGTTATCTTGGCGGCCGGGGACAGCTGGTCAGGGGCGGCAGAACAGTCCTGCCGGTCCCCTGCGGGGTTCTGCAGGGATCCATAGCCGGGCCGATCCTCTTCAGCCTGCTAACGAACGACCTGCACTGCCATCTACCGGACTGTCGGGTGATCGCATATGCTGACGATGCCCAGCTGCTCGATCACTCGCGTCCTGACCCTCAAAATTTAGCATCACTAAAACAGCGTGTCGAAAACTCCTTGGATGTCATGAAACACTGGTTTAGCTCAAATTCTCTTAAAATGAACCCTCAAAAGACCGACTTCATTCTCATCGGAACCCGCCAGACTCTCAGCAAGGTCGAAAACTCATATCTGCATAGCTGAGTCAGTCTTGAAACCGTCACCAACCATCAAATTGTTGGGGGTGACTGTCGACTCGTGTTTGGCCTGGGACGCCAACATCAGTCACATCGTCAGGAGGTGCAATGCCCTCCTCATATCCCTTTCCAAGTTCCGCCACCATTTTGACCAGGAAACGCTAAAGTTACTCATTGAGACCCACGTGTTCCCTCACATTCTGTACTGCATTTCGGTGTGGGGCGGAACCACAAAAAATCAACTCACTCGGATCCAAAAGCTCATCAACTTCAGTGCTCGGATCGTGACAGGCGTGCGGCGTCGGGAGAGGATCGGGCCGGCTCTGGCATCCCTGGGCTGGCCCAGAGTGGAGCGGCTGGTGTGGGAGAGGGACCTGCTGAAGGCATGGGTGGAGAATGTTAGAAAAAGTTACCCCGGCCGGCGACCGATAGTCGCGGGAAGACGATATATGTACTCACGTTGTTCTCAACGGTCATCATCAAACCACTATTCTGGCGCATTGAATAGGTTGTATCCGACACCGTATTATTCATAACATTTTTGGAATGATCGAAAAGGCAATTTCCTTTTAAGTTATTATTTCTTTTTACTTAAGCTTGCAATTTTACACCAAACCCAAACCAAACCATATGCCATTTTGAGTACCTAAATGTTGCGTTTTCAGCCTTTTATTGTGTCTCAAAATAGCTACAAAAAGACAACTCACCTAGTAGAAGCTTTACAGAGAAATTGACAGATCGAACCAAACAAAGCACTAAAATAGGTCACTGACATCCACGGGCGCAGCCTTTTTCAATGTTGGGTGGCTCTTATAAGACAAACAGGGAGTCGATCCAGGAATATCGACCTGTCTCGGTCTCGTACGTCAGTCGCTGACTCGCTAGAGAGTAGAGCGTTGGACTCCGCGTGGCGAGCGTGGCGAGAGCACGCGTCCCGGTTACAACAGTCCGGGTTCGAAGCATGACGCACGTTCGGTGTTTATGAGCACCCTGACGGGTACGCTCATAAACGGGTGTGGTTGCGGTTGGTGGCAGGCCAGTCAAAGGCAATGAGGTCAAGCAGTGGCTTTGAAAAAGTGCGCCAAAGGCGCGCCAAATTTTCGAAACTGAACAGGAATTGAGAGCAATCTTGGCATTGGCGACCACACGCGGGTCTTAGGGTTGGAGATTATGGCAAGTTAAGTAAATGGTAAATACCTACCTGATTTGTAATATTACGCCTATGGAAGTCAACATTCGAAAAGCGTGAGTTTTCTTTTCTCGTATGGAGACCGCTTTTAGCATTTACAAGAGTAGAAAAGTTACCCCGGCCGCGCCGGGGTAGGCTGAAAGTTACCCCGGCCACGGCCGGGGTGGCCGGGGCAGGTTCTCCACCCATGGCTGAAGGTGTGGAAGGCGCTCCACATACCAGCTTACCCTCTCTCCATCCGCCGCATGTTTGTGTCCCGCTCTGAGGTGTCTAGCCGGGTCACACGCTCCGTAGAAGCTGGCGCCCTGGAGCTGCAGAAGTGTAGGCTCTCTGAGTCTCTTCTACACAGAGAACGTTTAGTTACCGCGCTGCTGCCGCGTGGAACCGGCTGCCGCCGGCCGTCAGGGAGCAGACCACGCTGACCGCGTTTCGCCGCGCAGTGGCGGCCAGCGAAGCCTGAGATCTTGGGGTGCTGTGTTTTATTCCGGTTTTAGTGCAATTAGTTGTCTTATTTTATCTGCCAGTGCCTATTGCCTTCTTGCATTTTATTGTATTGTACAGTGGGTCTAATATTTAACCCGCGCCCTGCTGGGGGGGGGGGGTGTTTGAACACCCCCCCCCCTTGTGGTTTTTCGCGAATATCTCAAAGCGCCGCCGTTTTTGGCATGGGCGTCGAAACCGGGGGGGGGACGGGGGGGACGCGTCCCCCCCAGTCGAGGAATCCGGGGGGGACGTCCCCCGCAAAAATATCCCCATGAATGATTTAAAAAGTGACCTACGACATTGGTGTATTGTCGTTTTGGGATGAAATTGCGGATGCCTACTCGTATACAAATTGAATCTGTGAATTGCTGACACTGTACCCTTGCTTACAAGGCTGCGGAGTACATAGGCGGCGGAACGATTTGAGACAAGGGGGGGGCACCATGGCTCAAGGAGCCAAACCTAGGGTACCCCCAAATCCAGTTTTCTCATCGGATTTAGGCCACTTATTTTTCGTCACAGCCCTGACACGATGATTTTTTTTTATTTATTTTTACTAAACGAAAATGGCAGTTCACCCCCGTATGCAGGGGTGTACCTAATTTTATATCTCTTTGTGGGGGCATATGCACCCACAATCCTGAATTATGCCCCCACAATGATGAAAAAGCACCCACAAGTCTTTTACAAGGCTGCAAGCGTCCTTTCGAGAGCACGGTGCCCTTCGCATGCTCTAACGGCGTCCTCCTGACCGTCTCGCGTTCATGGATAGCGTTTTTAATCACTCGGCGCCCTTCTGGGAGAATGGCGCACTTTTGACAGCACCGCGCCATTCTCATGGTCTAACGGCGCCCTCCTGACCGTCTTGCGTCCTTAGGTCTCTGTTCACCGTGCATCCCTCGACTATTCGGCGCCCTTCTGGCCTCTCAGGCGCGCCCCTGAACCACATATAGCGTTTTCAATCACTCGGCACCCTTTTACGAGAATGGCGCCCTTTTCATGATCTCAAGGCGCCCTCGTAACCATCTGGCGCCCCCACGTCCCCACCAACGTAGCACTACTGACTGTGCGGCGCCCTTCTGGCCTCTTAGCGCCCCTAGACCACATAGCGTTTTCAATCACGCGGCGCCCTCCTAAGAGAATGGCGCCCTTTTCATCGTCTCACGGCGCCCTCGTAAGTCGTAACCGTCTGGCGCCTCCACATTTGGTGCCCCTCCTACTGGATGGCGCCTCTCTACATATTTTTTACGTCCTTCCGGTCAGTTTCCACTTTTAAGCGTGTATTTGCTTAGTCAGACACGTCACTTGAAGCGCCATTCGGCTAGCAATGTTATCAAATTCGGTGTTAATTTAGGCTCCCACATAAAGAATATCTATCGCGCCCCAAAACGGCCTGGCGCCGGGCGCCCCTACAGCTGGGCACCCACAATCATTTTAGGAAAATTACACCCCTGCCCGTATGTGTGGTTAACTTTAAGCTGATCCTCAAGTACCTATGTGTTTGTCTCTTCCTTATTGTCGTTTGATAAATTCCATTTATCCTACATGTATAATTCCCAAGAAGCCATCGCAGTACTAATCAGTGGCGAATCCCAGGGTGGAGGTCACATGGGTCATGACTTAGGGCCTGGGGTCACCACATGCCTGCCAGGAGCACCACAGGCCTGACAGCCGACAGGGGCACCACAGGCCCGCCAGAGGTGCCAAAGGCCTAGCAGGGGCACCACGGGCCTGTCAGTGGCACCACAGGCCTGTCAGGAGCACCATCGGCCTAGCAAAAGCACTACAGGTCTTCCAGGGGCACCACAGACCTGCCAGGGGCACCAGAGGCCTGTCAGGGACACTATCGGCTTCGCAGGGGAACCACCGGCTTCGCAAGGGCACCATGGGCCTGTCAAGGGCACCACAAGCCTGTCGTTGGCAATTTAGGATTGTCAGAGGCACCACAAACCTGTCAAGGGCACCTGCGTTCTAACAGGGGCACCACAAACCTGCCAAGGCCCAGGGACACCACAGGCCTAGCAAGGACACCACAGGCCTGTCAGGGGCACCACGGGCCTGTCAGGGCCCATGGGCACCTAAGTCATGTCAGGGCCCACCGTAGGCTTGTCAGGGGGCAGGGTAGGTAGGTACCACAGTCTTTCCAGGGGCACCAGCGGCTTAGCAGGGGCACCAGTCATCACATGACTAACCAAAAATAAAGAAAAAAAAC